CGGAGGGCGAGGGACGCCGAGGGGACGAACAGATGGGGCGACGTTGTGAGTCAGGGCCCGGAGAGACCAAGTCCGCGGGCTGGGCCCGGCCCCTCAGCTGTTCCCCGTCCTCCCCGAAACCGGCCCCGGTGGGCTGGCCAGGTGTGCGCAGGTGAGCCCAGTTCTGCTCCCTCGCTTGGAGCGGCCTCCCTGGGTCTGTGTTCGCAGCTGGGCTTTTAGATTTCTTTGGGTTTCGGCTTGCGCGGCGCCCTTTCTCTTGTTGGACAGCAGTGGGGTCCGGTGACGCTCGTTGCCCTGTTTTGTCTTACTGGGGGGCTTGATTTTCTTTTGGTAGGGGGACCTGGGGCCTTTCAACCCCGGCTTACCGGTGGAGGTGCCTCTGTGGTTGGCGATTAACCTGAAACAAAGACAGAAGTGTCGGCTGATTCCTCCTGAGTGGATGGATGTGGGTAAGCATGTGGGTGGAGCGGAGCTGGGGTGACCCCCGCCCTTCGGGTGGAAGCAGGGGGCCCCTTCCCCGCAGGCCACCAGCCGCTGATCAGCTGAAGTTAATGAGTGGTTGGAGACTCACCTGGCAGAGTTCGCGCATGGCTATTAACCAATGTCACGCTGTCACATTTTTTAAATTTATTTTTGAGAGAGAGTGAGAGACAGGGCATGAGCAGGGGAGGGGCAGAGAGAGACGGAAGCACAAAATCTGAAGCAGGCTCCGCACTCAGCTGTCAGCACAGACCCGACGCGGGGCTTGAACTCACGAACCGTGTGAACGTGACCCGAGCCGAGGTCGGCCGCTCAACCGACTGAGCCACCCAGGTGCCCCTCAACTTGCTTTACATTTAAAACTATCGTACGACGTTGAAGGGGCATTTCTTGGGACTTTTAAAAAATAACTCTGTTGGGGCCCCTGGCTGGTTCCGTATGCAACGCTTGATCTTGGGGTCGTGAGTTTCAGCCCCACATCAGGGATACGGTTTACTTAGAAAATACTTCTATAGGCTAGCATGTGGCTCAGAGTCCTCTTACATGGTAGGGCATGCATGCAAATGATGCATCATCCCAAACAAGGGAATATTATTTGGCCATATCAAGGAAGGAAGTACCTGTTATGCTACAGCCGAATGAACCTTGAACACGTGATGCTAGCGAAAAAAAAGACCCAAAGATCACACCCAACTCTGAATATACTAAAAACTGTCGAATTGTACATTTTAAATGGGTGAGCTGTATGGTGCGTTAATTATGCCTCAGTAAAAAAAATGAGACACAACAATGCAGACAGGCTTCATCCTGAGCCTTTGCGGTCTTTTTCCTACCTGAGACAAAAGCGGCTCATTCTAGCAAAGAACATTCATTTTATTTGGAATGGGGGGTCCATACGGAATATGAACGGCCTCTGAGTGACTCTGATCATCCCCTGCCAATTGGGAATCACTCGGGGGCACCTCCCTCCTAGAAGCAAGGACCCTCCGAGCCAGCCACTGTCAAGTACACTTCCGGAAAGACTGTGGGCATCTTCTCCTTCCGGTCCTAAAGGTGGGGGCTGGCGGCCCTGGTGGGTCTGCCACAAAGGGAAACCCCCAGCTCCTTCTGCTGAGGGGCTCTTGCCAAAGCAGGGAACGCTGCCAGGTCTGGCTCTGTTAGTGCTACCTCCTGTTCCGGCAGTTTGGGTCCATCCAGACCCAAGGTGACGGGGGCAGAGGCTGTCTTGTCGCAGGCCCGTCAGGGCCAGAGAAGGTGTGGAGGGCGTTAACCCGAGCTTTTTCACTGGCCGAGGCCACACTGGGGTGAGTACTAGTGAAACAGCACTAGTCAGTAGGCTCGGCCTGGGAGCGGGCCGCCTTCCGATTCCGCGGCCATAGCGGAGTCCTACCTGCTCTTGGGTGTCCTTTAAACAGAATCACCTGGTAGGTGTTGGCTTCTCTTATTTAAGGCTGTTGCACATGCCATTACGTCATTCTTCTGTTGCCGAGCAGTGTTTCATTCACGGTAGAGTACTCCAGTTCGGTCACCCATTGTTCTGTTGGCGGATGTTTGGAGCCTTTCCCATTTTGGGCCATTGCTAATGAGGCTCTTATGAACATTCCTGTCCAAGTCTTTTTGTGGATCTATGTTTCTAATTCTCTTGGGTAAATACCGAGAGTGGCAGATTGCCAGGTCACAGGGCAGACTGTGCTTAACTTTGTAAAAAAACTGTCAGCCAGCCCTCCAGAGTGGTTGGGCTGTCACTTATCCCGCCAGAAGTGTAGGAGAGCTCCCACTGTTCCGCATCCTGGCCAACGTTGGGTGATGTCAGTCTTTTCGATTTGTTGCAGAGTTTGAACAGAGGTGTTTCATACTGATTTAGATACTGGAGGAGAATCAGTCAGCTGTACAGAGAAGATGTGCGTGGGGCGAGGGCAGTGAGGCGTAACCCAGGCTGAGAGTAGTTTGCCCAGTTGCTGGAGGTGGGCAGATGTGGTTGGAGTCTAGGTGTATTTGAGTTTGTTTATTTTGAGAGAGAGCGTGTGAGCAGGGCAGGGGCAGAGGGGGAGGGGGCGAGAGAATCCCAAACAGGCTCCACGCTGTCAGCGCAGAGCCCTGTTCAGGGCCCAAAGCCACAAACTGTGACATGATCTGAGCCGAAATCAAATCAAGAGCTGGACGCTCAAGTGACTGAGCCACCCAGGTGCCCCTAGGTGTATTTTGAAGGAAGAATCCACAGGATTTGCTGAAGGACGGGCTGTGGGATCCGAGAGGAGAGTTAAGAGTGGATGCCAGGGTGGCTCCGTTGGTTAAGTAAGCGTCAGATTCTTGATTTCGGCTCAGGTCTTGGTCTCACGGTTCATGAGTTCAAGCCCTGCCTCCGTCTCTGTGCTGCCAGTATGGAGCCTCTTGGATTCCCTCTCTCTCTCAAAATAAATAAGTAAACTTAAAAACAACAACAAAAAAAGCGGTTGCCAGGGTTGCTGGCCTGAACTACAGAAGGATACGGAGGTGCTGTTCCCTGAGCTGGGGGAGACTGCAGGAGTCTAAGGGCTGGGTTGGGGACCAGGAGTCGGGATTTGACCATGTTACACTGGAGGTGCCTATTGGATATCCAGGTAGAAATCATGTGAGCAGGAGTCTTGGGTCAGGGAGCTTGGGAAGGGGAGATGTGGGGATATGAATGAGGAGGTCATCAGGAGTGTTTAGATGGTATTTAAATGAGGCAGGATGAAGCCACATGGGATGTGGTTTGGGTGGCGAAGGGGTCAGGGGACTGAGCTCTATCTCCCAGTGTTGAGAGAGAGGTCAGGAAGGCCTGGAAGAATCCGCGAGACAAGAGTACTCAGAGCATGGTGTTCCAGAAATCAAATAATAAATCTACCCTGAGGAGGTTTGATCGTTGTCACATGTGAGGACAGATGGAACCATTGGGTTTGGCTGAGCACAGGCCATGGGGGTCTTGGTGAGCTGTGTTGGTGGAAGGGTAGAATACACACCCCCCTGAGTGGTCGAAGAAAGGAAGTTTAACTCTTGGAAAAATGGTTTGCTGTCGGGAGAATGTTTACACCCAGTGTGAGGCTCGAACTTTGGGCTGCAGTATGGCACCAGGGGAGAATGGGGGCCACCACTGAGAGCGAGACCCCCCAGCATAGTTGTGTGTGTGTGTGTGTGTGTGTGTGTGTGTGTGTCCTTTAGCAACAGTGGCCGGTTCAGGTTCAGGACTTTCTCAGACCAGTGAGACAAGGAGATGGGACTGGGCTCCACCGAGTGACTCCGGCTGCGAGCATTCAGCCCTCCAGTGTCCTCACCCCGCCCCCCGCCCCGGCCGCAGTGGCCGCGGTGTAGAGCCGTCTTGCTCTCTTCTGGAAGTTTCTCCAGCAGCCCGTCCCTTTGTGCATCAAAGGCAGGACGCTGTGCTCTTTCCCTAAGAACTCTGACGTCCTTTCTTCAGTAATAGGCCCTGCGGGCCAAAACAGCAACGGTGAAGGAAATTTACGACCTTCCATAAGAGAAATATTGGGGGAAATAGACCCTGAACCATCTGGTGACTGGTGTGTTATTCCAAAAAGTGTTTTCTTCTTTTTTTTCTTAGTTAATCGAATAGGTAATAGAGACATTTGGTTCATTTGGAAGGCTTAAAAAATACGCTGGGTGTGGTGATGGTAAAACGTATACTCTTCTAAATTTCAGAAAAGTTGGAGAAGATTAGGGATCACGAGCGAAAGGAAGAAACATTTACCCCTATGCCAAGCCCTTACTACATGGAACTTACCAAACTCCTGTTAAATCAGTAAGTACGTTTCCCTTCTTAGAGCCCACCTGTGGGGTACGACTCGTGATTCTCCTCCCCTGGCCTGTCCCTCCTATCCTGTCGCACGTTCACCTCTGGGGTCAGCGGCGTCCCCGGCCACCCGGTTCCTCAGATCGGTAATCCGGGAGGCGTGTGTGTGCGCGCACCCTTGCCTGGGCTCCCTCTTTTCCCTTTCCTCTTCCCACCCCTCCCTCTCCTAGGCCATCCCTCGGCTCTCTGTCACTTGGCATTGGACCCAGGTGTGAGCCTCCATTGTCCTCTCCAGCCTTTGTTCTTAACCGTAGCTGGGCTCTATGCGGGAAGCTTTACCCCTCCATCTTTGTGCGTGGGAGTTCTCGCACGGCCTCCGCAGGAAAGGCCAGAGGGCTCGCGCTCGCTCGGAACCCTAGCTGTAATGACAGCCCGCTAGTGCAGTCACTGCTTGTTTCCCTGTGTCCAGTTCTGGCTCCCCGTTGGCTGCTGCTTTTTTGTTGTTCAAGAGGAAAACTTTTTTTTTTTTCCCCCCCGAGCGGGTGAGTAAGCTGGGAAGAGGGGCAGAGGCAGGGACAGAATCTTAAGGAGGCTCCACGCCGGGCAAGGAACCTGACATGGGGCTTGATCTCACAGCTAGGAGATCGTGACCTGAGCTGACATCAAGAGTCGGACGCTTCGCCGACTGAGCCCCCCCAGGCGCCCCAGAGTAGTCTTTTAAAGACGGAGCGGCTTGTGACTCCCCTGTTCCTTGGAGCCTGTCCGGGGTTTGGGCTGATGTCCTGATTACGGCTTGCAAAGCGCCGCCTAGCCTGGGCTCCTCCTGCCTTCTCTCACGTCTCTTACACCTTCTTCCCTCTGATTCCCACGTCGGCCTCTCACTTCTGTACATGTACCAGGGTCCTCGGGGCTTCCGTACTGTGTTCCCTGTGTCCGGTAGGTCCCTCTATTCTCTGCTCCCTCCTTTGGTTTAGCCCGACGGGGGCTCTCTCACAGGTTCTGTGTGCCTGTCCTCTCGGCAGCTCTGTAGCCCCGTGGCGTTTGTCAGCTGTGGTCTCGTAGTCACTCGTGTGGCTGTGCCCTGCCACCCCCACCCCAGTGCTAGTGGGAATGGGTAGGGACTAATTTGCACTAGTACGGTGCCTGGTGCACACGTTTGTTGAATGAACGAATGACGTCAGTAGAGGGGGGCGGGCAAGCGTGGATGAGTTTTACTTGGGAGATACTAGAATGTGATCTGCAAAATGGGGGGAACCTGGGTGGCTCAGTTGGGCCCTGTTGGGCCCTGTGCTGAGCATGGGGCCTAAGTTTCTCTCTCTCTCCCCCTCCTCCACCGTCCCCCCCCCCCCCATGCGTGCTTGCTCTCTGAAAACAAAAAATTAAATAAATAACAAAAGCGTGGGGCGCCTGGGTGGCTCAGTCAGCTAAGCGTCCACATCTTGATTTTGGATCAGGTCATAATCTCACAGTTGGTGAGTTCGAGCCCCACGTTGGGGTGTGGCATTCTTTGTCTCGCTCTCCTCTCTGCCTGTCCCCTGCTCACACGCCCAGTCAGTGGGCGAGCGGTGTGAGCCTGTTGACCGGCAGCCTGAGGAGTGCTGTTCCCATTATGTCGGGATGCAGCCGCCTGCTGGTGCCAGAGAAGGGATCCTTGGCTTGAAAAACGAGGGACAGTTGACGAGAGGAGAGGACGCTGTAGGTAGGAGGCAGGGACCTGTTCTGTTTGGGGAAGCAGAGCTGTTGGGGCAGGTGTGAAGGGTAGGGGAGCCCGGGCTGTTACTCTGGGGCTGCAGAGGACCAGGGAGGGTGTCCAGCAGATCTGAGAGCCTCATGGGGCAGCAGAGAAGGTGACTTGGAAGGGAAAATACGGACACCGAGGTGAGGGGCCTGCTCATCTTTAGTTTTTGTTTTGTTTTTTTGTTTCTTTTTTTTTTTTATTTTTTGAGCAAGCACGAGCAGGGGAGGGCCAGAGAGAGGGGGAGAGAGGATTCCAAGCAGGCGCCGTGCTCGATCGCACGCAGCACGAGATCGTGACCCTGAGCCAAAATCAAGAGTCGGATGCTCAACCGACTGAGCCACCCCAGCGCCCCAACATGTTTAGCTTCTGAAGTTCAGTGTCTTATGTATGCGGTTCCTATCGAAACTCTTGTTTGAGAATTCTTTGTAACTCATTCGGCCAGGGGCCCTAATTTTACCTTTGTTCTGCGGTTCAGTTAACAAAGTAGCTGGGGTCCTTTGTTCCTTAACCTGCTATTCAGGGCGTCAGATCCAAATGTTTGGGTCTTCAATCCAATCCACCGTGTAGATTCTATACCGCTGATTCTCCACTGCTGATCACAAGCTACTTTCAGCTTTCCCAGCATGCCTGGTGGCGGATGGTGTTGGCCTCTGCTTTTGTCTTCTCCTTCAAAGGTTAGTTGAAAATCTAGCTCCCAACGGGACGGCTGTCACGCTGACCCTTGCTGACTCCAAACTTTTACCCAGAATTCACTGGATGTAGGTTTGCCGGGTTTACGCTAATGCGCAGTTTCTTCTCCGGTTTCTGTAAGCGAACTTGTGTTCTCTGTGGACTGGGACCGTCCCTAGCCTTCAGAGCTTTGGGGAGGCCGGAACTGCTTTGTGGTGCGCGCCCAGTGCCCGGCACAGAGCTTTTGTCTTCCCCTGGTGGGTTGTAAGCCCTTGGATAAACGAGGAGGCGTGAGCATGGAAGTCATGACCTTTGAGCCAGCCCGTGAAGCAACTTCATTCAAGGTGGAAATTCTACGGCACAGAACACTCCGTTACCCTGAGACAGAGGATGTCCGACTTCCTCTTACTTACTTACTTACTTACTCTCCGAAGGTCTTGCGCTGCGGCCTGCCGCGGGGCAGCTGACATGAGCACAAGTAACTTTGTGCGGATGGATCGTGGCTGAATTTTCTTGGCACCCAGCTTACCTGCCAGAAATCTCTACCTCTTCAAACTGAAAACAAAGGGAAACGCATTTTGTGTTTATAACGGTTCGTGTTTCCCTGAGCCCAAGCAGCAGTTTTTAAACAGCCGCTTCTACCTGGAAGGGCCCCTGGCTGGTTCAGTGGGCGGGGCGGGTGGTGAGTTTGAGCTCCCCATTTGGGTGTGGAGCCTGCTTAAAAAGTAAAGGCCGCTTCTCCCCAGATGTTGCCGTCTGTAGTCTACCAAGTGCTTCCTTACGTGATTTTTTTCACATTTCCTTCCCTCAGTGCTTCAGACAACATCCCGAAAGCGGATGAGATCCGGACCCTGATCAAGGATGTGTGGGATACTCGCATCGCCAAACTGCGGGTGTCTGCGGACAGCTTTGTGCGGCAGCAGGAGGCCCATGCCAAGGTGGGCGCGGTGGGGGCGGGGCGGGGCGGAGGGACGCCCCCTCTCAGTGGATTTTACATTTTCTCAAATCAAACACTCCTCAACCAACCCAGTCGGTTTTCTCTTGCGTTTTAGCTGGATAACCTGACCTTGATGGAAATCAACACCAGCGGGGCTTTCCTCACACAAGCGCTCAATCACATGTACAAACTCCGTACAAACCTGCAACCTTCGGAGAGCGTCCAGTCGCAAGACTTCTAGAGGAAGACCCGAATTTGTAAAGAAAGGCCGGCCGGAGGCGTGCCAGGTGGTATGTGTGCGTGCCCAAGACGTGGTAGGGGCACTCTGATTTCTGGAGTGTTCCAGAACCGTTTTTAAACGCCTGAGAAACTGTGTACCCAAACAAGGAATGGGTTCGTGACATTGGTGGAGAGCAACAGGTTCGTGCTCAGTCATCGAGACACTTGAATTGCACATCTGTCTCTGGGAGCCAGCTGTTCTTTTATGGGGGGAAGAAAGCGGCTTTGGCGAAACATGTGATCTTTCCTAGCACAGCCTCCGGCCTCCCGGTGGTTGTCGTGTGGGTGAGCATTCGGTGATGTTTTGTGTTTTAGAGAGTGATACAGTAGGAGTGGCGATGTGGCCTAGGACTTTCCTTTCTTGACCAACGCTGATCTCTTGGGCTAAACTTAGCCTCTCCTTGAGTTTGCTCACAGAGAAGGACACAGTTCACCATCTGAGCCCAATAAAGACAGAATCCGCCCAATTCTTAACTGGGGTTTTCTTCTGCATTACTACCAAGGGAGCAAGTCCCATGGCTGAAGTGGCCTGACCGGTCAAATGGAGGTCAGGGGTAATCTTCAGACTATTCTCTTGGGTACTTCTGGTTAAGGTGCAGGGCTGCTTATCAGGAGGAAAGCCAGCGGGGCGCCTGGGTGGTTCAGTACCTTAAGCGTCGGACTCAGGACATGATCTCCTGGTTTGTGGGTCTGAGCCCTGCGTGGCACTCCACGCTAACAGCATGGGGCCTGCTCGGGATTCTCTCTGCCGCTTGCCATGTGTGTGTGCGTGCATGCACGTAAGCTCTCAAAGTTAAAAAAAACGTACAAGACCACACCAGAGGTCATCTTTGGATTCAGAAGCCATTCTGGAGGTGGCAGGACATGTGGCCTTGGCATGCTTTAGGATTCCTTGGATTGATTATACAAAGAACAGATGAACCCAAACATAGATTTGCAAGACACGGCCCGTATGAGAAGGCCTTAGGAGAACAGAATGAAGAAAGTCCGGGGCCTGGGAAAGGCGGCCATAAGTAAGCTGGAGATGGGACAAAGGAAGGAGTAAAGGTTCTGCAGTGGTGACCCTGTAGACTTTTCACAAGGAGATTCATGAACTAAGAACTTAAAGGAAAGCGTGGGAAAAATGGATTGTGTGCTCTGGGGCACGTGACGAGGCTCAAGGCATTGTTCTGGGAGGGCCTGTGCTGCTGCCCTTGATGGAGAGGAGAGACTTTGCTGGAGGCAGTGTCTCAAGGAAGGATCCTTTCTTTTCCGAGGAGAAATACATTTCAATTGCGGTTTAGAATCGCTCTAGAAATTCCCTTACCTTGAGGGGAGAAATGATGCTTTGGAGGCATACAAGGGATAGAAGGTTCTGTACCCAGCTGGCTTTTGATAGTAGCACGGTCAGGAGCCTGCTCTCCCTCGGGCTTTTCGGAGTGATCACTTTTACACGCGTGATCAGCTGAGCAGAAAGAAGTGTTTCTGGTGTTTGCCCTTTAGTGTTCAAAGCCCAAACTCGCCTGACGTGACTCAAGCACTGTTTCTCCGTTCCAGATCGCTCCCCAGCTGTCCTCCAACAACCAACCAATGGTTGTTATCTGAGCACTGAAGGGCCAGACACGGAGAAGACTGCTCTCTGTCATTTAAGGGGACAGTTCAGAGGGTTGCTTTCGGAGGACAGGACTTGCCTTTTCATCTGGGGACTCTTGTGGAATGAAACCGCACGGTACTGGGGAGAACCAGGAGTCCTGTGGCGCTCAGACCTCACCCCTTGATACCTTTCTTTTAAAACCTGTCTTCACATTTTACCTCTAAAGCTAGACGGCGGGGCTGCTGGGTTGGTTGGTTTGTTTGTTTTTTGGCCCTATTAGGACGTACAAAAGATTTGCCTCTTAACATGATTTAGGAAGATTTTATTTTTTTGGATGTTGTCAGAAATTACAGCAATATATTCATAAATACCTAATTACTACATTCAACAAATAATATTACAATACAATTAATTCAAACAAGTACACTTAGAACAGGTTTAATTTCACAGCATCTAAACTGCCCCCAGAGTGACCGAGGCATCCCTCCTCCCTCCCATGTACTGGTTTTACTGTTCTAGCAAGTGAGCACAGGGCACATACAAAGTAACACAACCAGTCAGCGTGGCCTTCCTCAGGTCAAGGCAGAATGAAGGAGTCTAAGTTAAGTGCTGGATCAAAAAGTTGGGACTGGTTACTGTAAGACGGGAGAAGTCAGGTACTGGTTTCCGTGGGGTGCGGGATATTTCCGCTGCTAAGTGGCTAATACACAGCTATGAGTCACAGAATTGGCTTGTGCCGACCATCTCCATCTTGTGGTGGGTCCCTGGAACTTTCTACTTTGAAGACCGCTCAGAGGGGAAAGGGGGCGCCTGATTTTTGAGATTTGGCAGCCTTATCGAGCTACTGGAGGAAAACCCATTCCAGGTACAGACCTTCTTGTACTAGGATCCTCCGCTGCCGAGAGTGCGGGCTCCTCTAAGTATTGTTGGAATTTCCTTAAGGATGTAATCTATTAGAATGTGAACGCCAATGAAGTGTTTAGCCTATGTTCTGTAGAAAAAAAAAAAAATCCTGTTAAGTCCTATCTTGGTCACTTATCTGAGATCATGGACGGAGGTCATGATTTTATGTCCCTTTGGCTCTAATTAGAGGAAACCACATTGTCAAAGGATCAGGTCGTAAGCGCCAAGTTCGGGGGAAAGCTCCCGGTTCATTTCTAATGATGGGATTAAATGCAGAACCCCAGGACCCCACTTTGGAAGAGGACCCTCACAAGCGGAGTGCAGTCCCCTTGAGGACGGACGGCAGCCAAGCCTCGCAGGGGCGGCAGGAAGACACAAGGTCGTGAAAGACGGGGGTCTCCACGAAAATACTGACCCGAGTTACGTAATGAGTTCTAGAGCAGATCTGGCGTACTTCTCAACTCTGTCTTTTAAACTCAACGTGAAATAGCGGACAAGGATCACGCATTTGTCCATTTTTAAGCCCAAACTGAAGAGAGGTGGTGCTGTTGTTTCCAAACCCTCTGAAAACGAAAACTAGCCACCGGACGGGAAAGCCAGGTCCTCGTGGTGCACCTCTGCTTTCTTCCCTTCCTTAGTTTCTTCGTGCTGCCTTACTGGTCTGTATTCTGATTGTCTTTCTACTGAGAGGTGGGAGTGCGGGGAGGAGGAGGGACCGAGGCTGGAAGGCAGGGGAGGCGGTTAGTCTCCAGCGGCAGGGAGCGGAGCCCTTCTAGCTGCACCCATGGCTTCCACCCCTGGGTGGTGATCGCCCCCCTATGGGCGTGGCCCTCGACCTGTAACAGCGCCCCAACAGGGGGCTCCCCTCGGATGGTGAGGGGCGGGGCGGGGCTGTTTCCTCAAGCCCTCCCCAAGCTGCTTAGCAGGGGCGTCCAGCCCTTTTCCAGGGCCGGGGGAGGGCGGGGAGCGGGGTGCTGAGGCGGAGCCCTTGAGCTTGTTCTTTCAGACCGGAACGAGCCAGCCGACTCGGGAGAAATTCGGTCACCTCGTCCCCGTCCCCTGACTGTTCCCCTGACTGCTCGCAGCAGAGCCCCCTCTCGACACCTGTCCCCGCCTGTGGAACGAGTTGGTCTCCCAGTGTCTTTGCAGGGGAGGGGAGGCACGCAGCACAGGCCTGCGTTCTCGAGTCGTTTTTGTGGAGAGGAAGGCGCTTGTTGACTGCTGATAATACTGGCGGCACTTTTTGTCTGAGTTTGCTAATAACTAGAAGATTCTTGGCAGACATACAAAGCAAACTGTGTGGGAACAGATAAAGCAACACAATGCCATCTGCCAGCAAGCTGTTCTGCACAGCTAAGGTCTGGTGCCGAGGGCGCGGCCACCGAGCGCAGTGAGTAGCCTTCCTGAAGGTCGGCCAGCCTGTCCCTGACCCAGGGTGAAAGGGACGGCGGCCATCAAGGTTCTCGCCTCCGCCCCCCCCCCCCCCCCGACGGACCCGCCCCTGGCTGCTTGGGCCTCGGGTCTTCTGGGGCCCGTTCGGGCGAGAGGAGACCCCCCCCCCCCCCCGCCTGGAGGAGCTGGAATGGGGCCGAGAAGGAAACACTGCTTTGCGCGGAGAGAGATGCCTTCCCCAGTTTCTAGCCGCTCCTGTGCTCAGGACAGTAAGTTCAAAAGGAGGGGAAGTTCAGCTCAGACATGGTTTACCTACTGTTAGGCTTTTACAAAGCTTTGCATCTAAATAAAGCTTCTAAAGTTTCTACTTTGCACCTGTTCTCAGACTGCTGTAAGACACCTTAGAATCCTATCACAGAACTCGCTCCCTTCCTGACAGGTTCTTTGGGCAGAGCCGCGGGCGCACCGGGCGGCCTCTGCCCGCCGGGGGCCGAGCCCCTCCGCAGTAGCAACTGGTTCTGTCTGCGCCCCAGAGCCAGGGGGAGGGGACAGGAGGAGGGAAGAAGGAACAACACATGGCTTTCTACGTCACTTTCTGGTGCGACTCAAAAATGAAGTGATCGCATAGGCGCCAGTGGTAAGCTCTTTTTTACTTTTCTTCTTCTTTAATCGTTAAAAACACTTCAATAGTTTAATGTCCTGACCAGCAGCAGTACAAACACTAAAAGCAAGTTTTTTTGCCCAGGAAAACAAAAGCAAAAAAACAAACAGAACCCCCAAACAGGAAAACAAACAAACAAAAATCCCCCCAAACCACATATTTAAAAATGGCAGGCTTTTTATAACAATAATTAAAGTAATAAAAACATACAAAACTTTGTTTTTTTTTTTAATATATATACACAGTACAAGGCTGAAGCACCTTTGACTTTTCTCTCAAAATTTACGTTTGTATGAAAACACAACCCACCGCAGTAACAATTTCGTGGGTGTGAACGTATGTATACATAGAGCTCTGTACATTTTCCCCCACTGAGTAGTAAAAAGGTACCTTCAGTTGGGTGATGCACTTTAGATAAGAGCTTTTCCGGGGAAAAGCCTGTGGGTGAGGCTTCGGTATTGGTGCTTTGTGGGCTCCTAGGACCTGTTGCTTCGGAGAAAATTTTGCAGAAAAGTAACAAACAAATAAGCCCTTTACCAGGAAAATGCACCCCGCCTTCCTTCTGCCGAAGCCGGTCTCCGTCCGGGGGAGGAGCGAGGCCGACCCCGCGCCGGGGCGGAAGGGGACGGGGGGGCTCGAGGAGGCGGGGAGCCGTGTGGCCACACCAGAAACCCAACACAGTCGGCCTGATCCATTCTTCGCACCCAGGGGCCCTCAATGATACAGTTTTAGTGTTGGTAAGGGAGCCTTCACTTTCAGACTAGAAAATAATGGCGTGGGGGAAGAAGAAAACCACCTTTAAAAAGAAAAGAAAAGACCAAACAAAAAGAACGATGGGCGTCCTAGTCGGTTGCTCGCTGAATGACAAAGGTGATTCCGTTGCATTGAAGTCAAGGCGGGTTCGTTCTTCTGGGGCCTGGAGTCCTCTGCTTCATGCATGGCACATTCTCTTTTTTTTTCTTTTTTTTTTCTTTTTTTTAAATTTTAAGCTTCAAACCTCCCAGTGAAAAATATTAAATATTCAAGGTAATAAAATAGATAATATTTCTATACTATAGGTTCGGCCTAGCACAAGGGAAACCGTCACCTAGGATATCCCTTAAAGTAACCTCTAGGCCAGTGCATTGCAGGCAACACAAGGCACTTCCTTAAGTGATCCAGTTCTGCCTGGAGTCGCTCCCTCTCGGAAACAATCTTCTGTTTCTGGCTCCTCAACTCCTGGAGAGAGAGATTGATTCAGGTAAAACACTCATCTCAGGGTAAGGAAGTGTGTGTGATGCATGAATGCACCGGGGCGGGGGGAAAGGCCAACCACTAGTCTGGAAACTTCCCCTTCCCAGCTCAGGATTCGGGCGGTGGTCTCTGGAAGAACCAGTTCAAACCGTGACCGAAGCCTTGGGTTCTCCCAGTATCTGGTCCATCTCATAAAACCAGGGTCTGTTGCTGGCTCAAGACCAACCCTGAGATTTAAAAAATTAGCTGATACTACACAACTGTGGCTGCTCTGGACCGGCCAAGAGCTGCACCCCACGTCCCCACGTGCCGGGAGGATGCCGGGGAGTTCCTCACGTCATCGGCTGCAGGAGGAAGGGGGCTGGGGTGCGAGAGCTTTGCTCCCCCTGTAATATCGTCTTCCATCCCCCTCAGCCAATGACCGTAGGGGGAGACATACGGGTAACACCTCCCCCAAAGGGTATTCTCCTTAGCTCAATCTTGGGGAACCCTTGGACTCCTGAACTCCCCGCCCAAGACTACACCTGTTAGCCTCCTAGGAGCAGTATTCCCACCCCTCAAAACTTGTCTGTATGGGGGACAGACGCAAGCTTAGGTTCAACAAAGCTGGCTGTGTTTTAGGAACCTGCGCACCCCCCCACCCCGCCCCCTCTTCCCCGGTGGCACTCACCGCCATGCTGTGAGAGAGCTGCTCGGCTGTGAGGCTGAGGCTATAATGCTGTGCCTCCAGCCGCCTGCACTGCGTCTGCAACACCTGCCGCTCCAGATTTTGCTCTGAAAAGACAAGCCGCGTCGAGCTGCTGTGTGTGTGTGTGTAGGGGCCACGGGCCTGGCCGGGGTCGCCCTTCTTGTGGTGCTCTCCTCGGGGCCGCACTGCTCCCGGCCCTCTGATGGGCACAGGGAAACCCAGCCCGGTGGCCAAAAGGCTACTAGGAACTCCTTAAGGGGAAAGTGGTGGTTGCAAAACACGTTTTTCAAAAGGAAGGGTACGGTGAGAGGTCTGAGAGCTTGTAATAAGCTGCTACACGGCCAGAGTAAACTTCGAAACCGAAAATAGAATTCTAATCAGTAAAATCTCTGCCTTGCCGCAAGATACTGGGCCTGCTTTTCACAGGAGTGGCTTCAAACTTGCAAGGGTCAAGGACAAGTCCCTGCTTTTCTATGAAGCGGGACCCGGGAGAGCAAGCGGACAGCCTACAGAAGGGACAGCGCGAGGAGGGGCACTAAAAGCAGCCTCCTGCCCCCTCAGCACACAGACTGAAGTTGTTAAAAGCGCTAACGAATGCAGCCCGGAACAAGCAATGTCAGAAAACACGAAAGCTGACCTCTCCACCGGAAACACGAACTCTGACAAGTCCTCTGCGGCCAACTCGGCAGGAATGAGGACCTCTATTTTGTCCCCAAGGTTCATAAACCAGAGAAGCGGCTCTCTGTCACTGCCACTCTCTGTTCAAGAGCCCAGAGCTCAAGGAGAGAACTAAACTATCACAGAAGGTCTGACCAGCTAGGACTACCTGAGGAATAAGGGACAACAAAAACTGAAAAAACGCACCTGGTACCTAACTAAGTCTAATAAAAAAGGCCCCGCTCACGGCAAAAAACCGGCAAAAGTTACTTAATGCAATTTAATGCCAGATTCATGGAATATCATCATCAGAAAGCACGGCCCAGGTGTGGGCCGTCACGCTGGGTGGGGACAAGTGGTACTTAAACTTCTCCAGTGACAGGGGCCTCCTGTCTGGAAGCTGGGGCGCCTGCAGAAGCCTGACAACAGTTCTTGAAGCAGGCAGAGTGGCAGAGGACGGTCCCCGAGCGCCAGGGTCACCACACACAAACCGTCCCCCGGGCTAGCAGTGAGGTCCCACAGGGACGGGGCGGTCCAGTAAGCGTGCTGTCACCTCCCCGCGGCCCTGCGCCCACTCCCATACCTTCTAGGTGTTCCTGATAAGCTTCAAAAATGGCCTCAATCCCTTGCCACTTGCGCCTGGGGGGCTCGTCGTCGTCCTCCTCCCCCTCCCCGTCTTCGTCGTCGTCCTCCGAGGCCTGGTCCATTTCCTGCGTGAGGGGGCCCTTCCTCCCGGTGGGGGCCTCCTGCTGCCCGTTGTGCGGGGGCACAGGGAGCCGGCTGGACGACTGCAGCTCGGGAATGTTGTAGTGGATGGACGTGTCCATTTTGTGGTTCTGCTCCGCAGACAGCACGGCCACGTTCCCTGCGGGGGGAGAACGGGCAGGTCACAGGCCCTCGTCCTTCAGAGATCAAAGATGGCGCTCCACGGCAAGGTCGCAGAGCCACAGAGACCGCGACGGCCCTGCACTGAGTCCCAACGAGGGTGTGAGCTCTGCCACGCCAAGCCCCAAGTGTCAGTGTCCTGTGCCAGGAAATGGGGCCTGACGTAGGTGTGCAGCCCGCCCTGGGGTCCCGCAGTCCCCCCCAGTCACATCCGGCGTCAGCTGCTATTGGGACCCGTTTACAGGAGGCGTGCGCTGCCTCGAACCACGGCCCGGCGGGGCGTGTTCTAACGCGGGCACACCGCCTCCAGTGTAGACAGCAGCCTCTGCGGGCCTCTGGGACGCGCTCGGTGGACTTGTCTGAGGAAATGGGGCACCTGGGTGGCTCGGTCGGGTAAGTGACTTGACTTTGGCTCGCCGTCTGTGAGACCAGGCCTCACACTGGGCTCTGCGCTGCTCAGGACTCTCTCTCTGCCCCTCACCCGCTCAAAGCACGTGCCCTGCTCTGCTCTCAAAATAAACAAACTTAAAAAACAAACTCCTGAGGAAACGGCTGCACGTTACACGTCAAGAAAAGGGCCGGTGTAAAACAAGGCAGGAAACGTGGGTCCTAGGGCCCCAGGAAAGCCTCTGTGAGGTGTGTCTGGGAAGGGCACGGGGCCTTTCCCCGAGCCAGCTCGTCCAAACACGCTCTCCTTGCAAAGGAGAATTCTTTGCAGCAAATTCATGACACGCATCGAGTGAAGCACTCCTGATTCTCACTGCGAAAACGGCCATCCTTTGCCTTTGGGTATCCTGGCATCGCCGATGCCAGCGGTAACTCGGCTGGCGCCGACCCGGCACCCGACCGGAGTCCACAGACACGTCCTCTATCCAGCTCCCAGGGCTGGCAGGGACAGACATGCTTGGGCCTAATAACCCAGTTATTTTTTCGGGCTGTTAGGGGACACGCAAGTTTCTCTTAAAGTCCGTAGTCCTTTAATCCCCGGGGATTCTTTCCTAATCAGTTTCAACCTCTGACTCCGTGAGAACCAGCTGTCGGGACCCCTGTTCTCCCACCAAATCGTCTGAGGGCAGTGGGGGGGGGGGGGGGCTCAGGTGTTACAAAACGCTCTCTGGGGTCGCTGGAGCAAACACCTTCTGGGTCTAGTCATCAAAGGGCGGGGAGATTCCCAGGCGAGTCTGTGTGGCAATGGCGCAAAGTCACCGAGCTACAGAAGGACCGGATCCTATCCGTGCGGGGGAGGCCCCTCACCTGGCCTAATTGAAAGGAAGTGCCTCTAACTCAACTCAGACGGCGTCACTTGCTAACTTTTCCTGGAGGGCGGTTGGTAGACCGGGGGCACCAGCATCACCCGGGCTCCTGCCGGCACCAGAGAATTCTCGGCCCCACCGCAGGGGCCCCGTGCACGCCGAGCTTAAGGGGCGAGCCCCAGCTGCCGCAGTGACGCGGGAGCAGGGCTGGGCCGGGCCGCCTCGTTACCTTTGTGCTTCTGCAGGGCCTTCTGGGTGGACTGCAGCACAGACTCGTGGAACTGATGTGCAAACTCCTCCGCCATGAAGGGCTCCCACGGCTTGCTCTTCCCGTTGATGCTGTGGGACAGCGGCACGGGAATGTCCTTGGGCGCAGGGCCCCGGATGTAATGGAGCATGCTCACGCCCTTCTTGCCCCCGGGGGCCTCGCTCAGCCTGGCCTTCTCGCCGCCGGCAGGAGCGGGCTCCTGGGGCCGCAGCTGCTCCAGTCTCCCAGGCTCCGTGGCCTTTGGGACGTCAGCCAGGGAAGCAGCGACACCCACAGGCTTCTCCGCATCCAGAGAGGTTGGCTGCGTGGCTGGTTCTTTTAGAGACAGAAAGCGAGGGAGATGTTAAGAGCGCCAAGCCAATGGGCCGACCCTGACCTCCAGAGCTTACGTTTAAGAAAGACCTAGCACAAAGGACAGAGACCCGGGGGACCATGTAATGAAACGTCCTCGTGAGCGCGCGCGGTTGGAAGGTGGGGCTGCGTTCAGCGGCAAGTCCGTCCTTGAGAGGCGCCCCAGGAAGGCATCTGGGAAGAGAGAGAATCTGAAGGAAGAAGCAAGTGGCTACCAAGAGGTAGAAGTCACGAGGCCCAACCCGACAAGAAAGACCACGTTAGGATTTGAGAGCAGGGCCGGACCAAAAAGATTTCCTGCTCCACTCGGCAGCGTAGCATGAGAGAGAGAGAGAGAGAGAGAGAGAGAGAGAGAGAGAGGAGGAGGTGTGAAAGCAGGTGTCGGAGAGGCCTGAGGGCAGAACAAGCAAGACAGAGAAGCTAAAGAGCAGCGCGAACGCAGGGCCGCAGCAGAGCTGAAGCAGCAGGTGCTAAAACACGGGGCCTGGGGCTCCCGAGGCCCTGGCGGTGACGGCCGTGGCCTGCCCCGAACCGCTGCACACAGCCCTGCGGAAGCTGGGACCCGCCCCCTGGGCTCCCAGCTCTGACTTCGCGCTCTCCTGCTCCGTCCAGAGAACAGCCTTCCCGATGGTGCAGGAAGCTTGTGCGAGAGAGAGCGAGCGAGAGGGAGGGAGCGAGAGAGACCGAGAGACACCCTTTCCAGGAGGAAAAGATTCGTGATGAAGAAGAGATCCTGAGCGGCCGCCTCTGACCTCGGGCAGCCCGTGGGACAGTCCCAGGCGGGGGCGGAAGGGGCTGTCCTTCCCGCCCTGGGCCTTACCGCTCAGGGAGATAGCAGGACTGTCCCTCGGAGAGTTCCTGAGCGGGTCCGCCACCACCATGGACAGTGCCTTCTGCTTCATGGCATGGAGCATTTCAACAAGTTTCTCTTTGTCTATGAGAAAAGCAGCCCGAGATTAACACCACGGTTGTAGCACCTCCGAGAGGAGAGGGGAGCAGGCGTCCAGCCCAGGCCGTGCCCGGCAGCTGCAGGTTCTCTAAACCAGGAGCAAAAGCAAGCAGCAAGGGACAGGCTGTGTTTAAGGAAAGAAACCTTCGGTTTAGGGTGAGCCCAGATTCCGCTCAGCTTCTGCAGAGCATTAGAGATGCATTCCAAAGATCGCTGTGTGTGTAACAGCAAAATAACGGGTTCCTATGACCTTCTGAGAGGACTTCCGAGGATGTGTTCTTACTTCAAAGACAAAAAAAAAAAAAAAAAAAAAAAATTCCCAACACAGAAGAACCACCCTGAAGATCCACCCAGCACCCCGGAAGTACAGGCTGCTTCGGGGCGCGTTCTCCGCGGCCCAGGACGCTTGCTTGCCATCTACTGAGACGGAACCAGAGCCTGTGATGTCTGCTACTGTGAGCTCTTGTTGCAGGGGCATTTGTCCCTGATGAAGTGGCTGCATCACCGGTGGCTCCCTCTAGGACTCAGGTCAGGCAAAAAGATGCTCTTTTACAAACAGAACTGTGGCTGTTCCCAGGGACTGGTCCTGGTGCCCACCATGTCACTGTCTCTTGAAGAGAAAGCAAGACCCCCAGTTTACTGGTTAAGAAGGAAAAGGAAATCGCCGCACGCCAACTACATGCACCGGGAAGCAGGTCCGCTTTCCTTCCGACTCCTTTCCAGAGAGAAGTGACCACCTGGGGTCAGCGAGGAGGGCTTGGAAGCATGCACACGAGCTCCCCAGACAGGCCGGGTTCTCAGCTGAACCCACATCCTGGAGCTAAGTAAGCGAGCGTGTCGGGCAGACCGAGGAAAGGGATACCAGAAGGTGTTCAGACCCCACCCCTCTTCTGCACTACGTTCTGGCCCAAAGAGTCGGCCCCCACACGGATGGGCGGCCGGAAGGATCTGGAAGCGTCTTCCAGGGCAGGCTGTCCGAAGGCAGCGTGTGCTGCTTCTGCCGGGCAGCACAGACAGCCCCGAGCCCACTGTGGCCGGAACAAGAAGCCTCCCGTGGGCACCCGCCAAGCAGAAACGCCCCCTGCGCAGGCAGGCGCACCTCCCCCTGCACCTGGGGCTGGGGGGTTGCCCCGCCTGCCGTCCCAGGTGCCAGGAGATCTGACAAGTGACAAGAGTGGCTTGACTGCAAGTCCAGCTCGCAGCGACTTTTACATACAGAACCCCCTCCCCACCCGCACCCCCAAGCCTTCCGTTACACCCGGGACGCGACAAGAGCAAACGCGCTTTGACCAGGGCAATCTGCGTCTGGGATGGAGAGAAGTTAGATGCGGACAGACCCTGGGGCAGGCGCGTGAGAGCCGAGCGGCTGCCTCCCTGGCGCCGGAGGGGACCGAGAGAGCCCGGGGCCCCCGTGTTCTCAGATTCCACCAAGAGCGAGGTGCGGGACATCCCCCGGGGGCCCACAGCCCCTGCCTCTCCGCAGTCTCGTGGCCGCCCGCGAGCCCCACGCCCGGTCCTACCTTTCCTCTTCTCGGCACTGACGTGAGTCAGGTTGAAGATCGTTAGGAACTTCTTCTTCTCCTCGAAGTTGGGGCTGTTGTTCATGTCGTCGGGGCTGTAGCGCGTGGACAGTGCGAGTCTCGGCGAAGGCGTCTGCCGCTTGTTCTGAACCGTCGGGGGCGACGGGCTTCTCTCTCTCAGCATCCGCCGCCGCTTCCTCCGCTTCTGGGTCAACAATTCCTCCTTCTGCTGTTGGGTGGTCAAGCCAAAAAGTTGCAAAAACTCTAGCTTCTAGATCGGGAAAGAAAACAAAGGAGTCTGAAAGCCCCGGCCGTGGCCTGCTTCCACCGTCCCAGGGGCCCTCCTGCAGTCCTTGAAGCCCACGCGCGGGCGAACTCGGGGCCGACGGCTCGCCAGGGGGGGGGGGGGGGGGGTGCGGTCAGAGCGCAGGGGTCCCGCAGGTGTGGGGCTGACCGGGACGGTGGGAGCAAGGCCAAGGAGCAGGCACTGACGGGGGCGCCCGCAGCCCAGCCCCTGGCCTGGTGGGGAGGGGATCCCAGATACCTCGGAGGACGTGTCCAGCTTGAGCGGCGGCTGCTCGGCCACGCAGCGGAGGTGGGCCCTGACCTCGTCCTCATCGCTCTCGTCGTACGAGTCGTCCAGGTCGTAGTAGTACCCTGGCAGCAAGAACGGCCCCGTTCAGCCGGGCCGGGAGCCTCAGGGCTCGGGCGGACGCACACGCGGGGCGTCTCTGGGACGTGTGTGCAGACGCACCCCCTCAGCCCAAGCCCTGCCGGCCCCTCTGCGCACCCCACGACCCAGACTCCTTTTACCCCAGCTGTAAACGCGCATTAACCCATAGTCCTAGGACTTCGAGGTGGGAGGAGGGAGGGGGGCAGTGGGAAATGCAGGCGTCAGGCTTCCCTCGGATCCCAAGTGACCAGGCTGAGGCGGCCAGAGCGCATCCCTCTGCAGGAACATTTATCACACAGGCCTGGGGCTGTGTCCTCGGCAACCCAAGGCCACTCGTGCACATCCAGTCCCTCCTGCCCACTGGGTCCACTACTCAGGAGGGAACAGGCACACTTAAGTCCCCACCGAAGGCTCAGGGCACACACATGCGGAGAGCAGCACCCCTGCACCCCGGGGCACCCCCTCGTCCTCCCTCACAAGGCAAGTGGCGGAGGGAAATACTTCTTGGGCCCTGAGCCTAGCCTAGCCCAACAAGCCGGGAAAACTTGGCCTTGGCCCCAGCTTCTGGCTAAGAGGCTGACTTCAACAGGACTGGTCGTTTCCAGCAGGAGAAAAGACATTGTTCTGGAGCAGCCCCCGACGCCTCCTGGGCAGACAGGGTGTGCAGGTGTGGCGGGGGGGGGGGGGGGAGGAACCGCCGCTCTCCCCCCGGGCCCGCAGGGTGGACCCTGCCCGGGGGACCTGAGGTGGGGGGGCCGAGGGCTCCCGCCCCCCCCCACCCCCGTGAGGAGCCCCCGCCGGGCCCAGGCCTGCTCTGCCGACAGCCTCCTCCCCTGTTATGCCGGACGATTAATATTTAAAACCGTCTCGTCAGCCTCGGTTCCTCACTTATGAAACGCGTGTCTGTGGAACCGTCTCCCATTTGGCTTTTTCGGGACAGTCTGCGCCATAACAGCGCCAGCAGGGCCCCCGGTCTGTCTCGCGAGCAGCGGGAAGCGGGAACGGGGGTGTGGGGTGGCGGGGGCCCCCGGTCCCGGGAGGTCAGGGCCCCCAGGGACACCCCACCTTTCTCCTGGGCTTCTCGCCGCCTGCGCTCCTCCAGGTCCAGCTTGCTGACCAGCTTCCGGCGCTGCTGCAGGAACTCGTCGTAGATGTAGGCGGGGTCGGGGCCCCGGGGGGCCGCGGGCCGGTAGGGCGAGCCCGGCTTCAGGGGCCCGGGGAGCTCCCCGAAGGGCGCCGGCTGGGAGAGGGGGGCCCGCTGCTGGCCCAGGAGGGTCTGCGTGGACTTCTCGAGCTCAGCCAGGAAGGGCGCGGGCCCGTGGGCGAAGGCCTGGTGCTCCAGGCTTCCCGCCTCCCGTGGGGGCGGCTGGTACTTGTCCAGGGGGGGCAGCCTCTCGCTTCCGGGGCCCCTCCTCGGCCTTCTCCGCGCAGTAGACCCGCTCAACCTTCACCAGGGGGACGGCCGTCTGGCGGCCAGGCTCGAACGGGGCGGGGTGGCTGTGCAGGGGGTGGCTCTCGGGGGCCCGCCGCGTCTCCAGGGTGCTGTCCATCAGGGACACGGGGTTCCAGAGGCCCGTGGGCACGGAGTGGTGCTGGGGCTTGGGTGAGATGAGGGGCGGGGGCCCGCCAAAGTGCTGCGGGGGGTCTCGGCTGCCCGGCTCCTGACGGTTCGGTCCCGGCCTGGGGAGCGAGCGGAGCAGGCCGTGAGTCGTGGCAGCGGTCACCGCCAGGCTGCCCACCCGGGGGCGAGAGGCGGCTCGGGGTGGCCCGGACGGGAACTCCCCCGAGAGCCCCCTCCAAGCCACCGGGCAGGCTACCGCCTGTGGGTTCCACTTGCCCTCCACACAGCTAAGGCAGGTTCGGGGGGACCTGCTTCTGAGAGGACGCAGAGGCTCAAAGTTAGACGCTGCTTGCTGACCGCAGACAGACGCTCTCAGGCCAGACCTGCTTCCTCTCCCGTGTCCCACCCGTGACCTAGCTTATTCTGTTCCGCCGCTTCCCGAAACTCTGTGAGGAGAGGCCCCCGTCTTTGTTTGCCATGGGCAGACCCGTCACGGAAAGGACAAGGTTCCCACGCCACGGGCGTGGTCTTGTTAGCGGCACCCACCCCCAGACGTGCCACTCTCCTCTCGCAGGTGCCTGCCCAGCCCAGTGGGGTGGGGGAGGCCGGCTTTGGGGGAGACCCTCACAGCTAGTAGGGTCTGTGCTGTCGCTCAACCCCAGGGCTCCCCAGCAGCAAGGGCGGCAACCCCACGGGGCCCCAGAGCAGGAGCCACACCCAACGGGGCTTCAGGGAGCCCAGCCACTGGCCGGGGCATCGCGCCCCTCACGCTCAGGCGGGGTGGGACCTGGAAGGGACCTGCCACCCGCTAGACGCTCTGCCACTGTCCTAGCAGGGCCCTGGAGCTCTGGCCAAGGAGGGGGAACATTTCACCACAGCCACCACGTGACTCCCAAACACAGGCTGGGAGAAAACCCCAAGGCCACGGCACCTGGGATCAGCAGAGGACAAGAGGGAATCGTATCGAGAAGCCGTGTGTCCTTAAGTAAACAAGCCAAGGAAAACCTGTCAGTGGGATAATATTTCATGCCCCAGAGCCAAGCACTGAATGGTTTTCTAACTCAGAACACAAGGGCCCGTCAGATGTCAAGTCCACGCCGCTGTAAGGCCGAGCGAGCTGGGACCATGGAGGCCAGGAGGCCTGCTAGGTCCCGAGGCGGAGGGAGGCTCATGGTGGCAGCGGGGCTGCGATCCTGGGGCCTCGGGCAGAGGAAGACCCCCATGGGAACCACAACACCCAAGTCTTATCAGGAGGTGTCGAGGGGCGCTGGCTGCTCTCCAGGCCCCGGGGTGTGAGGGGGCTCAGAGACCTGGCCTCTGCGGGGCCTCAGAGAAGCAGAGGGGACCCTCGCTGCAGGCCGTCGGCTGCGGGGACCCTCAGCCGGGGCGGAGGGCCCAGCTACCACGTACCCCCAGTCACACCAGCCCAGCAGAGCGAAAGAGGGAAGGAGCACGTGGGATGTTCCAAGAGCCTCAGACCCAGACAGCATCCCAGATGCCGAGAGCCGGAAAACATTCCACAGACCTCCCCACCCGGCCTCCTTTGTGCACAACTGAGAAAACGGGCGTCTAGTATCCCGTGTCCCTGAGACGTGGCCCGGGCCTCTCCCCCAACTCTGGCCGATGAGGGGGGCGGAGGGTGGGACAGGAGACACTAGGTGACAGCCAGACCGACAGGTGGGGCGGCTCAGGGCGCAGCTGTGAGGGTAAGAAGGGGCCCAGCTCACAAGGCAAGACTTGTCCCCAGCTGGGGCACCCAGGGACGGCCTCCTGGGGAATCCGGGGCTGGCAAGTGGCTATTATTACAACAGCAACGAACTTGATTTCTTATTGAAATAAAAATTAAACGCAGTCCCCGTTATTCTCATTAAAAAACGTTGGGGCTTGAAAGCAGAGAAACATGGAAAGAATGGGTATAATCGTCAATTAAAGCTTCTCCCGCCCCCCCCCCCCCCTCAAGTGCCACGACCATCCCTGCAGGGACACAGCCGGGCTCTGCGGGAAGGACCTGGCGCCGGCCGGCGCCGTTTCTCGGGGACAGGCCCCTTTGAGCGCCTCCTTTCCCTGCTCGGAGGCTCAGCCTCCTCACGGGGTCAGAGCAGGGACGAGCGGAAGCACTCGGGAGGCGGACGAACGCCAGCGTGCGGACCCCCCTTCCCTCCCGGGGGCCCCACCTGGCGCTGTCGGGCCTGTGCTCCGCCTCCGTGGGTGCCGGGGGCCGGCCCATGTCCAAGTGCTGCTCCAGCACCTGCTGCCGGAACTCGGACACCTGGGACTGCCGGTCCTCCTTCTCCTGCCGCAGCCTCCGCTGCCGCGCCAGCCACTTCTCCTCCTCGTTGGTGCGCTGGATCAGCAGGGCCGTGGCCGCGCTGCTGCCCGGCAGCGAGAAGATGCTGTGGTTGGAGAGGAGGCTGGGCACACTGTGGTGGGGGGCGGGCGTCGGGTGCAAGGGGTGCTGCACGGGCTTCGGGGCTTGCAGACCTGTCTCCTTCAGCTTCTCTGTGTGGGGTGGGGGAAAGGCCGTCAGGGCAGGACCGCGGCGCCCCGGGCCCAGCCCGAGCCTCCCCTGCTCTCCTGCCGCCCTTCCAGGAAGACACCCCCCCCCCCCGCCCCACCCCTGGACACTCGGTGGCGGGCGCTGCTCTCGGGCGGCCCCGCCAGGTGCCGGACTGAGCAGGCAGGCGCCGGCTCACGAGAGCAGACCGAATTCTCCAGAGTCACGCGAGCCCGCCCGTCGTGCACAAGCCCTCGTAAAAGTCTGATCGCGCGTACTCGCGGCGAAACAAAGTGGGTTAAAAAAAGAAAAACCTCAAAACTCATCCGCCACCTCCTAACGCTTTGGCCGCACTTCACTACCCGGGCGCGTCCCTTCCCCAGTCGCGCCCTGCTCAGCAGCCACCTCGAGGCTGTGGCCTGGGGAGGGCCAGGCGGTGAGGCCGGCAGCTGCCCGCCGCGGTACCTGGGCGCGTGGGGGTCAGCTGCTCCGAGGGCTTGGCCCGCTCCTCCGCGGCGTGGCTCCGCAGCCCGTGCAGCTCGGCCACGGGCAGGAAGGCCGGCTCCAGCGCCTTGGCCGCCAGCAGCTCCTTCTCGCGGGCCCGCTGCTCCCGCTGGCGCTCCAGCTCCCGCTCGCGCTCCTTCTCCCGCTCCCGTTCCAGCTCCTTCTCGCGCTCGCGCTCCTTCTCACGCTCGCGCTCCTTCTCGCGCTCGCGGTCCGCTTCCCGCTCCCGCTCGCGCCTCAGCTCCTCGTCCAGCTGTAGCCTGCGGGCAAACGGGAATAGCTGGTGACGGCCCGCGCGGACCCAGAGGGGACCGTCGGACACGGGCCCCCAGCGACAACTCCCGGGAGCGGGACCCCGGCAGCCCGACCTGCACGGCGGGAGCAGGTGCGCGGGGCCCCGCTCTCGTTAACCCCCCAGGGACTCAGAGAGAGGGCTGTGGGCCGTGTGCCGCCGCCAGCCCCCCACGTCTCACTGGGCGCTCGCGCCAGGAGGCGGGCGGTGGACCACAGAGTCTCCGGGCACCCGCCACCGCCCCCACCTTGCGGGCGAGGAGACCGCGGACACGGGCGCCGGCCCAGCCGCTCCGTCGGGGCGGCAAGCGCGGGGGCCGCCCCAGCCCGGCACGCGGCTTACCTCTCGGCACTGAGGCTGGACATCCGCTCCGAGTGCAGCGCCGCCAGGGACGAGTGGGAGAGCTCGGGGGGGTAGCGGACCCCGGACAGGTGGAGATGCATAGCCGATGGGTGCAGCGGGGGCAGGGAGCCGGGCGTGGGGATGGGGTAGAAGGGGGACCGTAGGGCTGACAAGCAGTAGGAGTCGTCCATCCTGTGCAGGGAAGACGGGGCCGAGTGAGAAGCAAAGGCAAAGCAAATAAACCCCGGCCCCGTCAGCAGGCATGCGGTGCCGTGAGCGCGGGGGACAGGGCAGGAGGGCCGCGAGCCTACAAAGGCCCCGCAGGCAGAGGCCACGGCCGCGGCCAGCCCCAAAGCCCCCGCCCGAAGGGCCGCTGGGCAACAGCAACTCGAGGTCCGAGGCCCCACGCGAGCAGCAGCCCGTTCCCGGTAACTCGCCGGGTCGGGATTCGGGAAGCCCCTACACAGAGCAGAGACGCGGGGCACACTCCCCCTGGGGCTTCTCCGAGACGCAGCAAAGGGTCCCTCATCTAAGCGAGGCCGTGTGCTGGGCCACCAGTGAAACAGCCAGCAAGAGGGGAACTGGCGGCACAGGGGGCAGGGGGGAGGGTTCCCGCCACGGGCCAGCAGCCAACTTGGAAGGTTCAGGGGCTGCTCGAGACGCAGAGCCCGGCCCCAGGACGTGAGGCCACGTGGGGGGACGGCCCCGGAGGACTCACACTGGGGCGTCTCACCTGAAGGCTGGGTGGGGGAAGGGGTGCGGGGCCAGGTAGCTGGGGTGATAGTAGGCGGCGGCCGCGGCGGCCGGGTCCAGGCCCAGGGGAGGCAGGGAGGTCATGCGGAGGTCCTCGGTGGTGTGGTAGGGCCGGAAGCTCCTCAGGTAGTCCTCGGTCACGGTGCTCGGGGGCACCACGTGGTGCACAGGCCGCTGCAGGCTGCGGGGGCGGGGACGGGTGGATGAGGGAAGGATGGCGGAGGGCGGGGGAACCCGCTGACGAGAGGCAGGCAGCTACTGCTGGCTCCTGGGGCCTGCGTGGCCCTCGCCGTTCGGCAGCGGGCACGGGCTTGCCACCCACGGCCGGGAGGCGCCCCGGGGCCCCCGGGATCCAGACCCCAGGCGCACGTGCCCGCTGCACCCCTTGCACCGCCAGCCCCCGATCCGCACTTACTTGAGCGGTGGGAAGCGCGAGTCTTGCACCACGGAGCTGGGGGAGATGCCGAAAGGGTAGGGGGTGCTGAGCAGGTGGGAGGGGATGGCGGGGCCCCCCGCCTTCTCCTGGGGCAGCGGGGGCTCCACGATGAGGCGCTCCCGACCGCCGCCGCCGCCCCGAGAGCCGGCGTCCTGCTGGAGGACAGAGAGCAGGAGTCAGGCAGGGGCGCGGGGCCAGGTTTCGGCGCCCGCTCTGAGGTGCGCCTTCCTGGAGGGTCTCTACCCAAACGCGCTGCACGGAGGAGGCGGCACGGTGAGAAGAGAGGGCATGGGCTGTGATGCCGGGCTCTCCCCTGGGCATCAGGTCTGGCCACGCCCATCAGCAGACCGAAAACCAGGGCCGGGGGGGGGGGGGGGGGCCGGGCGGGGGGCGGGGGGGGGTCGAGCGCAGGCCAGTCAACCCGCAAACCACGGTGTTCCCGCCATGCCACGAAACACCAGGCACCCCTAAAACGACAGGGAGCCGTGGCCCTTTGACGGTCTCCAGGAGCTGGCAGGCTGAGGGATGCGCCGAGGAGTGGACCGCCGGGCATCTGGAGGCCGAGCCCCGTGCCGAGAAGATGCTCCGGCTCCCCAGACCCTCCGAGGCCCACGCCCGAGGCCCTCCGGCTTGGTTGGGGGTGTGAGCAGCGGAGCCCCAAGTTCATCTCCGCGGCCGTGCCCTCTGACCCCAGCAGCCGCCTCAGGCCCGCACGCGAGGTGGGGCAGGAGCGGACGGCGGGGGCCAGGCAAGGAGGCCCCGGCCGTCAGGCACATCTACCCGGCAGGCCGGTGCCAGGCCGCCGCGCCCTCCCCGGTCCTCCAGAAGACACATCAGTGATAATTAATTGAAGGAGACAGGCCGCTGATTGGAATTTTTAATGAGCGGCAACATCTGTTCCTTCCCACATGCTGGCATGGCCCCTCCTCTCGCGGCGGGGTCCTTGCAGGTTCGCGAATTCCGACTCGCCCTTCCCCGAAAGGGGTGGGGGGGGGCGGTTCACATGGCAGGTGTCGAGGCGGGGGGGACACACGCACCCACACCCACACCCGAGGTCCGAGCGAGCAGCCCAGAACTCCCAGCCCCACGATTTTCCAGAGACTTCTATACAAGGGCCCACACCTATGTGGACAGCAGGGTGGGCTCCCCCCACAGCCTTATTGAAGACGGCTCCTGTCCGGTTCTGGAGACCCCGGATGAGACCCATAACGGCCCCGTTCCTCGGTTTCCCCATCTGTCAAGCGTCCCAATCGCAGCGCCGGCTCCTAGCGTGACAGGGACGGACGGGCAGAAACGGAGGCGAGGAGGGTGAAGCGGCAGCCGGTCGCCCGCCCACACCAGCGTCTCAGGGGCCTTTGCCAGGTCAGGGCTTGCCGGGTCCGCCCACACGCCCACCACCTGGTGCGGGGCAGGCTTGCACGAGCCCCTACACCCACCTGCTGCCATGCTCTGGCCTCACGGGGGCCACTGGGGGCCGAGGAGGCCCTGTGCCCGTGGTCTGGGACGGACTGAACAGGGGGTGCCCGGCACTGAAGGGGACTCCAGGCACCCTGGACGCTGCCCTCAGGCTGGCCAGGACAACCCCCCCCCCCCTGGGCCAGAGCAGGACAGAGGGGGGGGCCGGGGGGGGGGGGGGGGGGGGGCGGCGGGCCATCCACCCAGGACCACAGAATCCTCGGAGGGGGTCCTGGACCCTAGAACAACATCTGGGGAGAAGCTCCGGGCGGCTCTCCCCAAACCAGGCCGTCACCCACCTCCACGTGCGTCAGCCACCGCTCGCGGAATCAACGGCAGAGGCAAGTGCCCCCGGGGGCGGCCCCTGCCACGCGGGAGGGGCCCCGAGCGCACCGGCCCCGGCCGCCCCTTCTGCCCCTCAGCGGGACAAAGCCCCGCTCGCAAGCGGCCGGGCCAGATGGCACCTTCCCGGCGGCAGAGGACAAACAAGGCGCTGGAGAGCCTGGGGGAGGGGCTGGCGGGCGAGCAGGGGGTGCGACGGGCCGGACCCACACGCCTTCCGTCTGGCTGGAGCCCAGCCACGCTTGCGACAGGCACCTGGCAACGGGGGCGGCCCTCTGGGGGCGCGCAGGGGCTGCCCGGGGTCCAGGGCGCAGCCCCCAACCGGGGCCAGGCCACCGCGGGGCACCCCAGGAGCGCGCGGGGCTCCCACCACCGCCCTGGCAGACAGACGAGCGGCAGGGAGCATCTGGGGGCGGCTTTTGTTTCAGGGCTGCGGCTGCAGGCACAGCCGCGGAGGTGAAAGGGCCGCCAGGGGGTGGGCGGAAGGGAGGAAAAATCCTTCTCTGGTGATTAGAGAGAGGGCTCCAGGCAGACAGGCCCGACATGCTCCGTTAGCCCGAAAATAGACCATTTTTCATTTCAGCTGTCCTCTGCAGCTCCCAGTACCTGGGAAACAGGGCCCTGGCGACCCCGGTGACAGGCCCAGGGCCCCGCCCCCCCGCCGCCCCCCCTTGCGGGGTGCCCCCCCCCCCCCCCCCCGGGCCACCACTTGGGGAAGCGGCTCTCCTCCCCGCCTCCCCTCCCCGCCTCCCCTCCCCAGAAGGATTACATTCTCCACTGAGCCTTTGTGAGAAGCTGATGAGCCATATGCCCCCTTCCCACCGCCCTCCCTGGTGGCATCAGTGTTTCATTAAGCGCCGCGGTGGTAAATGGCCGGAGCAGATCCATCACGGCCCTTTCTCTGGGGCTACTAAACGTTCCCGAGGCAGTCAGGACCCTCCGCGGGGTGCCAGGGCACAGGTGCTGGAGGGGGGGGAAGACAGCAGGCATCCATGGCGGCTGTCACCAGCCAGTGCCGAGCCAGGGACAGGGCAGGATCCGGAAACGACCCGGGGCCGAGTGAGTCCGGGAGAGGCAAGGAGTGGTGACGAGTCAGGGGCCGAGTCGGGTGGCTGGGGCCCTGAGGTCAAGGTGGATCGCCAGGCGGCTGACAGCGAGAGGCAAAGAGTCCCTCCGGAGGCAGAAGGTCCCCGGGAAGACCCGACCCTCCCTCGAACCAGACCCAGGGGCAGCTCAGGGGTCTCCAAACCCCTCTGGCTGGAATCTGCCCGCCAGGCCCCACCTGGTCTCTCCCGCCCTCAAACTACACAGAGGGCTAAGCAATGGCCACCTCGGACACGGGCCACACCCAGGAGGGTCCTCACCCCTGCCCGAGGGTCGCCCCCACCCCCTCTGTGGACGGAGGCTGGCTACCTCCCACCCCCAGGGCAGAGGAAAGGCAGATGTACCATCTACTGGATGACCAGGGGGTAGGGGTGGGGGGAGGCCGGTGCCCAACTGACTCCCCTCCTTCCACTTGTCGTTTCGCTGGTATTTTTTTTTTATGTTTACTTTTGAGAGAGAGAGAGAGGGAGAGAGAGACAGAGTACGAGCAGGGGAGGGGCAGAGAGAGAGGGAGACACAGAATCTGAAACAGGCTCCAGGCTCTGAGCAGTCAGCACAGAGTCCGACGCGGGGCTCGAACCCACGGACTGTGAGATCATGACCTGAGCCCAAGTCGGTCGCTTAACTAATTAGTATTTCTAAGTACCACCACCCCTCTGGGAACTCAGCAGAAAAGCCCGGAAGTATCCTCTCACCCCTGCTCCGCCCGCCCCCCTCGGTTAGGGGTACCCGGGTGCGGGTGGGGGGTCAGCCGAGGCAGGAACAAAGGAACCCTCCCAGGCCTCCCGCACTGGCAGGACACCGTGGCAACAGCCACACCCAGGGGAACCCCAAGTGCGGGGCCTTCAGAGGCCAGGACAGAAACAGGAAAGTGGGACACACGAGAACACCCAGCGGCCTTTTCCCCACTTCCGTCCCGTGGTCGAGCGGCAGGTAATCAGAACGGCCACCCTGTGCCACCTTTGCCACACGCGGGGCTCCGGACTGAGCCGTGTCCCCCTCAGCTTCTCACGGTAGAGCGCCAACCCTGGGAGCGTGGTGGAGACGGGGCCTTGGAGGAGGTTACTAAAGGTGAGGTCACTCGGGCGGGCCCCGATCCCACAGGACCGATGTCGTCAGAGAAAGCAGACCAGGCCCCGGATAAGAAGACGGCGTCTACAGGCCAGAGGGAGAGGCCTCAGGAGGAAGCCGGTGCCGGGGTCTCAGACCCCCAGCCTCGGGGGACACAAAGAATAAACCTGTCGCGGGAGCCCCTGGAGGGGTGCTCGGTGCTGGCGGCCTGACTGAAGCCCGGGGATCCTCTTCCAACACCCGGCCCTCCGGGCGGGTGTCCCGTCGCCCTGCTCCGCACGGGGGTCGGGCTCACGAGGGCGAGTCAGGGCGAGCGGCCGCAATCCCGAGACGGGCCCCCCCCCCCCCGGCCGCGGGGCCCCCCCCCCCCCCGGCCACCCCCCGGCTCACCTGTCGGTTCTCACTCCTCCAGACGCCATTGACGGTCTTGGTCGGGGCGATGGTCACCACGGGGGGTGTGCTGGGCACACTGTGGCCCCCAGGGGGGACGATGACGGGGCCCATGGGCACGCGCTTGGGCGTGCTGGCGGGAGAGCTGTGGTTGGTGGCCGGTGAGGACACGGGGGACGACTCGCTGCTCAGCGAAGACCCTGCGGGAGAAGGACGCGGGAGGCTGAGCGGGGGCCACGCCCATGGAGGGCCCCGGCCGGCCGGCCGTCCCCAGCCCCACGCAGCCTGCGGACAGGCAGGGAACCTGCTTCCCTGGCCACCTCGGGCCGCGCCGCACCCCCTCTCTGGCTTCAAGGCCCAGCGCCCCTCACCCAAGCCCCAGCCCGAGGCGAGGGTAGGCAGGAAGGGCCGCCCCCTCGGACGCTGACGGAGACACGGGCCCCAACACGAGAGACGTGTCCCATTGCAGCTCGGGGCCACGAGCCCACGTCCCACATCACACAGGCAGGATGTGCGCCGTCGGGGGCTGCCCCTGGCTGGGTGGGACCCGGTCAACACAGCAGCCGGACCGGACCCCCCCTCCACGAGGCCAGAGCCAGAACCCCCCCCCCCCCAGCTCATAACAGGCCCCGAGCCCTCCGCTTGCAGGTAGAGGGGCCACAGGAAAAGGCAGGGCACGCAGGATGCCCGAGCGGCCAGCAAAGCAACGGTCACAGGGCTGGATGGGCCGGGCACGAGGCAGGGACACAGAGAAGCGGCCGAGGGACGCTTTCCTTTTCGTTTCTCAAATATCAACTGCAGCCTATTCTCAAATTTTAAAATCTGAGACCTAATTCGCCATTTAAAGCGTAGAGGCTGGTGGCTTCTAGCACATTCACTCGGTTGTGCAATCATCGCTGCTACCTGACTCCAGATCGCTTCTGTCCCCCAAAAGGAATCCTGTACCCCAACATCACACCCAGCGGAGGTCCCCCCGGAGGCGGGATGGGGTGGGCAGAGTCAGGAAGCTGGGGACCAGGGGTTTCTAGAGGGCATGGAGGGTGGGGTGGGCAGGGCCCCGGGGGGGGAAGCATTCCAGGGTCCCAAGGGAGAAACCTCGGGTGCACGGCCAAGCTGGCCGGATGCTCCACCGGGAGGGGCGGCCAGGACAGGGAGCGTATGAGCTGGGCAGTAACTGTGTTCAAGTGCGTCCTGCTCCCGGGTCCCCACCTCCAGCAGGCACCAGCCTCGACCTCCCTGTGACTCAGGCACGTCCCGGCCCTGGGGCCTCCAACAGTGTCGGGGGGGAGGTCCCCGAGATCCCCACCCAGGCTCAACAAAGTTTGTCGCACAAACACACACACCCTGCACCCTGAGGAGGAGGGAGACCCCCGTCACGTGCCCACACGACGCCGGTGGTCCCCACCCCCATCACAGACGGCCGACACGGACCCCGGGCAGACGCCACAGCATCTGGAAGCACAAACCGCAGCTGGGGCTGCCTGGGACGCCCTCGCGCCGGGCGGGCAAGGGGCACACGCTCGCCTGTGGCCACGGGGGGTGAGATGCGGGGGCCCAGGCGGCCACGTGCTCCACCAGCCGGGACGCGGACAATCACACGCGGCCCGGGGCGCCCCGTCTTGCTCACGGACTCAAAGGGCAAACGCTGACCCTTCTGAAGGGCTCAGATGGCCCATTCTGTCCGCAAGCGCCCCACGCGGGTCGGGGAGAGAGGGAGCACCGTCGGCAGAGACACCCCCTCGCGGAAGGAGAATCCTGTCTGTTCGCAGGCGTCCTCCTGGATTTCGCTCCAAACGTGCCTCGTTCCCGGGGCCGAGGGACCCTTGTCTCCACACCATCTCAAGCGGCCACGCTCACGTTACCAAATGGAACCTTTGTGTTGAGGGGGAGGCAGGGCAGCCTCCGGCTCGCGGGCGCAGACAAGCCGCGCGGCTGCCAGGGCGGCACCGTGGGGCCACCTCTCCTCCCTGCCCCAGAGGCCCTGGGAACGTGGCCCCGCGTGGCCTCAGCAGCATAACCAGGAAGCAGAGCGGCCGGACATCAAGGCCCCAGGGACATCAAGACAAAGCCTTGCCCTAAGCAAGGTGCTTCCATCCAGGACTCCTCAACGTGACTCCCTAGGCTTGTGCACAGCATGGGCAACTGTACAAAGCAGCCCCACGGGGAGACACCCAGCCCCAACCCCACAGGCCAAGCCCCAGAGTGGCCCAGCAGCTCGTTCGAGGCCGGGAGCCCCACGCTCCCAGATCCCACCTGTCAGCGCCTGGCCACGTGGGCAGGAAGGAGCTGCCCGAGGGCTGCTGACCCTGAACTGCGACCCTGAGTCCCCCCCAGATGAAGCAGCAACCACGGCCCACACCCCAAGAATGCTGCAACCCCCAGTCGGCCAGGCCAGCCCCAGCTAGCTGGGTCAGATGTCATATCCACCGGGGGAGAGCCAATATCACACACTGGCCACCCTCCCTTCCCAGTGGGGACAGCTTCTGGGGTTTTAGGACAAGCTACTGTCTGGTCAAGTTGGTGACCCCCCACCCTCCTGCTACGAAGCCGGTTTCAGGGCCACTGAGGGGGCAGGTGGGGTGTCACAAGCTAATCCGGCCAGCCCTGTGAGCGGAGCTCCCGGCTGGAAAGTGACCCCCCCACCCCCCGCCCGAGGTCCCGGAATGGCTCTCATGGACCCTCACCCAGGTTCGTGCAACTGTGGAAAAATGGGTACATCTCTCTCAGGCCGCCAGCTCTCTCCCTGGCCTGGCACCCCCCCTCTTCAGGGGTACGCACCCAGCAAAGCACCCGCCCCCCAGCCCTCCACGGGGAGCTCCTCCGAAGCCCGCCTGCACGTGGCCACAAGGACACAGAGTCGCTATCAGGTTGAGCGCCCGGGGGGTGGGGGGGAGGACAGGAAGCAGCCACAACCCTCACGGCCACGCGGGTGGATCCCACCAACACCACCAAGAATCCAGACGGTCCTACCCGCTGGGGAAGGGGGTGCTGCGCGACAGCAGGGGCTTTTTCCTGACCTGTGGGGTCACTCCCGATACCTGTCCTGCTGGATGCTCAGTCTATGCACATTTCGGTAGGTTATTTAGATTTTTAACTTTCGTTTATTTTTTAAAGTTTGTTTATTTATTTAGAGACAGAAGAGTATGCAAGAGCAGGGGGCAGGCAGAGAGGGAGAGAGGGGGGCGGGGGGGGGAGAGAGAGAGAGAGAGAGAGGGAGGGACGGAGGGAGGGAGGGAGAGAAAGACAGAGACAGAATCCCAAGCAGGCTCTGCACCCAACGCAGGACTCGGTCTCACAGACTGGGAGATCAGGACCCGAGCGGAAATCACGAGTCAGATGCTCCGACCGACTGAGCCCCCCAGGCGCCCCCGGCGTTGTAATGGTTTTACTGACCTAATTCCCGCAGCACAGAAACCGGCCCCCATCCCCATCTCAAGTGCACAATTCCTCAGTCCTCGGCGTATTCATAGCTGTGCAGCCATCACCCCAAACAGGGACCCCGTACCCTTTAGACCCCGGCCCCCAATCCGTCTGGTCTCCAAGGACGTCCCTACTCGGGGCTGTTCTCACAAACAGAACCACATGGTGTGGAACCTTCCGCGTTGACCTTTCACTCAGCCGGCGTTTTTTAGTTTGTCCACACTGCAGCCGTGAGTCAGGGCTCCGTTCCTTCCTCTGGCTGACTCCTGCTTTACCCTATACGGAAACCCCTTTCATCTGCGTGTGTCCACCTCTGGGCTCTGTGAGGCTGCTGTGTCTCCTGCTCTCGCAGCTCATCTCCCGCTCAGCTCGTGGGGGCAGAGAGGGTGGACGTTTGTGCTCTGGACCGAAAACAGGAAGGAAAACACACACACACAGCAGGAGGACCTGCGGTCACCGCAGAGGCCGCCAAGAGCCTGGAGGAAAAGCTGGGGTCAAAGGCAGATGGGGCTCCGGTGGGGGGGCCTCGCACCCCGCCCTGCAGGCGCCAGGCTCTGGGCCGCAGGTCGCAGGGGCCCTCCTCCCTCGGACCACCCTCCTGGCCTCCGAGCCCCCCCTCTGAAGGGGCCCCGCCATTAGCTCGCCTCCCTGGATTAACCTCATTCCTAATCACCAAGGGGGGAGGGGCGGGGGAGCTCGGGGGCGCAGGTGCACTTGGACCCGGAGGCCACCGACAATTAGCAGCCTAATCCCCTGGGGGGTGGGGGGAGGGCGGCGGGCGTCCCTCGCCAGCCAGAACAGGCGATCGATCCCTGACCACGCACCCACAATTAGCGAGCGGCCACCCCGACCCCGCTTCGCGCTGCGGCAGGAGGCCGTGACCGCCCTAATTAACTGGAGGCGCGCGGCGGGGGCCGGTCCGCGGGCGCGTGCGGCTGGGGGATGACAGGAGGCGGCGCTCGCCGTCACCTCGGCCGCCCGACTTGGAGGATGAGCGCCGAGGCCGCCGGGCACGTGTAATTAACAGCTGAGACCCCAGACTCAGGAGGGGAGGGTTGGGGGGAGGCCTGGCAACGAAACCACGGCGTCAGGATGGCTGCTGGCTCTCCTAGACATGCGCTGAGCCCGCCACGAACATGCCCACCACCCGCTGGACGTCCAGGACCACCGCCCGCCCCGACTGCAGGGCACGGAGGGCAAGGCGGGCTCCCGGCGACAGGGGTGAGACGAGAGGCCGGTCTCCTGAAAAACAGGGCCGCTGGGACGTCCTCCGTCCCTGTAGTCGGGCCACCCGAGCTAGGCGGGGTTGTGCTCAGGTTCAACCAGCACAGGCGCTCACGGCCACGACAACCGGGGGGTGGGGTGTGGGTGGGGGGCAGAGGCATCGAGGACCCTGCGTGTCCCTGGCTCGCCAGGGCCCTCCTCTCCCTCCCGGAGTCTGTTCTGTCCCAGGTCAACCCCGGGTGGTCCGCAGGCAGACCGCAGGGCACGTGACCGCAGCTCTGGGGCTGCCCTCTGCCCTCCCGGGACTCGGCCACCACTGTTTCCAACCAGGACTCGGGGACCCAGGCCCGGTGGGCGCGCACCATTTGGATCCAGAAAGGAGACTGGCCATCAGTACGCCCCCCTTGCAAGGCCGAGGGGCTGTGGGAAGCCTCCCAGCCGGCGGGGGGATCAGGTGGACGGAACCCGACGGTCCCAGAGTCCGTCTCCCCAGAACGTGCCTGACGGAACGGAACGGTGGCCCCGTGCCCTTTGCAATCGAAGTGTGTAGGTTCCA